TCCTTCAATTCGTCGGCTTTGAATCAGAATGAGATTCCATTCTCATTCCTCACGAATGAGCAGTGAGAGTGAAGGGTGGAGCGTGGATCGATGTTTCGAAACACTTGAGCGTGAAGAATGATCGTGAGTGTAGATAGCGAAGAATGATGAATGGTAGGGGGAGGAGTGGAGGTGTGGATGGGTATGGGTATGTGGGATTAGAGTGTTGTGGATGTGAGAGAGTGGATGGGGTGGAATGTGGATGTGAAAATAGGGATTGTTGATAGATAATGGGGATTAATGGGGATGAATGTGTTTGATTGAGATGGTAGGGGAATTTCTAAGCGGGGGGTGGATGCAGAAGTGTGGAGAAGGTGCTGTACGGGGGGGAAAGCGAGAACCAGATCTATTAGAGCTGCTTAAATAGACTGGGGAGGCCTGGACTGATGGTGGTGGTCGGGATACCTTTATCAGTGATGGATCATTACTGTGTACAAAATAAATCATCTGGAGAGTGTGAGAGATTGCGGATTGATCTGAGGTGCGCGTAGATCGGAGATGGGCGGAGGGGAGGACACCATATCAATGGGAGAGGTAGTATGTATGGATAGATGAGTCTAAAAGTCACTGATTGCAATGAGAGGGGATTGAGTGGATTGCAATGACTAAGGAGATTTCTATTTTATTAGAATGATACTAAAATATGTAGAAAGAGTGGAATGTAATTGAAATGGATGGAAGTATAAAAATGGATTGTGTGAATACATTTTCTTGATCAGTCATAGTAATCTAAGATACACGAGAGAAATGGATCACATGATTTGGTATCCGATCCAGGAGGAGAGATAGATATGCGAATAAAACTGATAATTGCACCTAGAGAAAGAAATATCGAAGAAAGACTAACGCTCAAAAAATTAGTTCTCTTGTCTGTGTCTACAACACTATATATGATCTCTTAAACCAACACAGATGTTGCGTGAGAAGAATATCACGAATTTTCAAACGAAATTATACTGAATAGCCACAACGCTAGATCAGAGGGTGACTGAAAATGCGATGTCCATTATTGTCCCATATTCGCGTTACTTACCGAAATGAAAAACAGTCATTCAGGATGTTTCTGGTGTATAAACTCTTAAAGTCCTGTCTGGTCTTATTGTTTTTCGCACAATCTAGGCCGCGTCAAATTGCTCTGGGTGGTTGCGTCGTGAATAATGATTAGATCTTTGGTTATTATATTTGTTCAAATTTCGGTTCGACCCCTCTATCAAAGTTTGGGCATGTTGGATAGTGGGTTGTATGAAATGGAAGTTATTTAAAAATATCAACTTGCAGTGATATATCCTAAATTTCTATTTTTTATTAATATTATTGTCAGTAAGATAGGTGACTAGCGAAAAATTAGATAATACGAGAACCAGGCGACATTAGCTCATAAGCGCTCATACCTATACAATCCTAAGAGCTGAAGCGAATACTATTAGAGCCTAGTCGGTGAGTCTCTACTGCCGCAAGATTTGTGTAGTGTGTGTAAGGTGCATGGCTGCTTTGACTGTGCTGAGGTTTGTCAGAATTAATGGAAATATTAGATATATACATTCTACACATCGCGCGAGCGCGGGAACAATGACACATGCATAGCACTACTGAACACACTATCGCAAGACATTATCATCAAGCAATACGCACGAACGATACACACTGATGATTTATGATAACAAGAGAAGGGAAATAAAAAGAAAAACAAAATCCTACTGTTCATCTAGTGACGAGACTAAACTATCAACTGACTCACTATACAACACAAGCCTCACACACGAGTAGACGATCACTTCTCAGCTAAAATTCAATCAATATCTATACACACACAGACCGCACGACTTGAACCTACCTATCTTAGTCTTACACACATCTATCATCTCAATCACACTCGAACACGACATCTCTATCAATCCTCCCCACATATCTACACGAATCGCCTATCACCCAATC